GTGCTCAATAAACATTAACAGCTATGCTTGTCATGACCACCACCATCATTTGTACAGAGTAGAGTGTATGTACTGAGGGAGTGTGGAAGGAAATGTGTTGTGCTGAATGGGGGCCAGAGCTTCTGCAGGCAGGCAGAAGATGATATACAGTATGGATGATGATATACAGTCCAAAGAAGATGATATACAGTATGGCTTTGGGACAGGACTTCACAAATGAGGGCACTTTATTTAGGATGTGGGGCTTCCAGATCCTGGTCCAAAAATCAGCACCACTGTTCACCCCACCTTCCCCGTCCTCTCCCACCATTCAGCCCACCCATCACCTGAGTAGGCAGAGCCATTCTTCATGCCTGCTTTTCCCTAGTGGAGACCCAAACACCCATGCCCAACACACACATACACACACACACAACTTTTCTTGAGCCACTTTAAGCATCTGGTGGCTCTAGGCCTTCAATGTCTCTCACCTCTTGGGTTCCTAAAGGTTAAAGCCTCCATATGGTCTTGCAGCCTCTAACCACTCCCTCCCTGTGCCCATTTGCTGGCTGCGGGCTGCAGTTAAGGACCTAGGAAGAAACTTCAGAGGGAATAACCTCCAGGCCACCAGTCCCACTGCCTGAACTGGGGCCACGCCTACTCTTGACTGGTAGAGCTAGTCTAGAACCAGGTTGCAAACTCTAGGGCCTTCTATTCCTCCTTTCCTCTCACCATAGACCTGTGCCAGGCAGTCAACCTGGGGAAGTTCGTCTGCTTTAAAGATTCTCAACTTTCCACAGCTGGGCTGTCCCAAGGCACAGACTCTAGCAGCAGCAGAAAGGGATCCTAACAGCCATTCCCTGGGCACGGTCCTAAATTTTTTCTCCTGCAATTTTCCAATAGGCTGTGAAGCCATAGGCTTCCTCTGTTGAACTTCTATCCATCCTTCAAGACAAGATCCATCTCCAATCTGCAGCACTGTGGTTACCAAGCAATACTCTGCCTCGTATTACTCGGTTGGGAACAAACTTCCTCCCCTCCTATCCACCATGGCCCCTGCCCTCATAACTGAACCACAAACTCCATGAGAACAGAGAGCAAACCTCATGCATTCCCATTATCCCTAGAGCTCAGGACCTAGTGCTCTCAAGTTGCTCTGTTTATGTAAGGTTGGGTTGAATCTGAACACATAATAAAAACAGGCTCAGGGTAGCTATTAACTGTTCCACCCCATTAGCAATGTCTCCCAGTAAGGGAAGTCCTCACATGGTGGCATGATGGAGGGACACTATCTTTGAAGGAACCCAAGGTCTACTGTGGACCAGCTATGGGAGTCCTGTGTTTCCTCATCAGAACAAGAGAGGCAGCAACCCCCACCCTATGGACTGTTTCGAGGAAGAGTATGAGATGCCAGAGGTGTCCAGTATGCACCTGGCATATAATAATTGCTCAGTGGGCAACCAGACTTTTAAAACAAGCCATGCACCCTTGCTGGTTCCCTCTCCTCACCTCCCACTCACGCCTTAATCCGCGGCAATCTGGCTTCCGCTCGTGAGACAGCTCCTGCTAAGGGGGCTAAGGAGACTTCTTACTGTCTCCTCCTACTGCTCCACGCCTTCTCAACTCCTCTCCCTCCAATGATTCCTTAAACTCATATTCCAAAGCAAATGCCTCTTCTCTCCTCCCCAAGCACCTTTCCTAGAGGCAATGCCCTCCCTTCTCCGGGCTTCAGCTGCATGAATTTATATACTTAGTTTTCCCCGTCATCCCAGCGTCTCTCTACTGCAGAGCCACACACACCAGAGTGCTCTGGACAGCTCCCCTGAGCACCTCAGGGGCACCAGGAACTCTCCTCATCCCAAGCAGAACTCACCTTCTCTGATCTCCTCAATTTCAGGCCACCTCACTCCACTTCCCTGCACATTTTAGCAGATGTCCCCGCACAAACACAAAAGCCTCCTATATGAGTGTCCTGTTGCTCCTGTAATAAATTGCCAATAAACTGCCCAAACCACAGTGGCTTAAAACAACATACATGTATTACCTTATAGTTCCAAAAGTCAGAAATCCTAAAATCGAGGTGTTGGCAGGGCCACATTCTTTCGGGAAGCTCTGAGAATGAATGTGTTTCTTTGCCTTTTCTGGCTTCGAGAAGCTGCCTGCATCCCTTGACTCCTGGCTCCTTCCTCTATCTTGAAGGCCAGCAGAGCAGCATCCTCCAATCTCTTTCTCTCTGACTCTGAGCCTCCCACGTCCCTCTTATTAAGGTGCCTGTGATTACACTGGGCCCACCCAGATAATCCAAGATCATCGCTCCCATCTCAAGATCCTTAACTTAATCACATCTGCAAAAAATCCCTTCTGCCATGAAGATAATACATTTACGAGTTCTAGGGATTAGGACAGGGACATTTTTGGGGGGCCATTATGTGGCCCACTATACCTAACTACCTCTATCTGCTCTAATCCTCTGCGCTAACCCTGTAAGGACAGGAATGATGCTGATCCACTCCCGTTTTTTGTCCAGTGTCTCCATGTGAACCCTGTGAGATGATGTAAAAGGTTAGGGATCATGCCTTATCTCTACTCTACACTCAAGCACTTCAGCAGAACCCCTCCCGTTGGCTTTTTGAGGATGCTAGTCTTTCTAAGTCTGTTCAGACTTGACCACACACCCCCCCACCTCACTCTTACCTTTCTCCTCACTTCCGATCTTATCTGTAACCAAACTTCTAGGAAATGACTACGCCTGGTCACCTCCATGCTAATCAGGTTCCACCCCCATCACTCTCCAGCAGGGTTTCTAAAGATAACTCTTCGTTATGAGGGACTGTTCTGTCCATTGTAAAATGTTTACAGTAATCCTGGTCTCCAACTGCTAGATGCCAGCAGCTTACCCCTACGCTGAGCTGTGACAACCACAAGGTCTCCAGACACTGCCCAATGTCCAGGGACAGGAGGCAGGGCTGCAAAATCGACTCAGGTTCAGACCCACTGCTTTCTATAATAGCTCTTGCTAAAGTTGCCGATGGCTTCCCTGAGAGTAAATCCACGGGACACTTTTCAGTCTTTCTGGTTGGTTTCTCAGCAGCACTTGGCACTGTCAGCCATTGTGGCCTGGAGAACCTCTCTTCTCCCCTGACTTCCAGGTCACCCACTCTCCTGGTTTCCCTCCTACCTCTCTGGCTACAAACCTTCTGTCTCCTTCGCAGGATCAAGCTCCCCTTCTAGACCATGAACTGCTAAAATCCCTGAAAGCTTGGTCACAGGCCTTTCCACCTCTCACTCAGCACATTCTCCCCAGGTTCTGTGCTCCACACCCACTCCCCCACTGGCCACCCATGCACAGGTGACTCACTAAGCAACATCTCCAAGCCTCCTCTCCAAGCTTAAGACCCATATATCCAACTGCCTACTTGACATCACCACTTGGATATCTTGTTACTCCAAATTCAACAAGTCCCAAACCCAAATCATTTTTCTCTTAACCCAGTCCCCTTCCAGCCTCCTCCATTTCTCAGAGAAAGACACCATTAACGACCTGTTGGGAGACTGCAGATGTCCTTGATACCTCCTGCTCCCTTCCTTAAGCCAGTTAGTCTATGTCTAAGTCAGAGCTCTCCTCTCTGATACAGTTCACAAAGCAGTTCATTTGGCTCCATGTCTGTGCTGCAACCCTAGCGCAGTCTTCCACCATTGCCGACTACAGAACTCCCACACGCTCTACCTGGGGAAAGGGGTGTGGGTACCCATTCTTGACCAGCGCCCCTGAGCTCAATCCGTTCTCCAGGCTGCAGCCAAAATCATCTTTTCAAAACACAAATGTGACCAAGTCACTCCTGCTCCCCCTCTACATTCTTAAAAGGACAGAAGTCCTAATTTGGTCCACTGGGTCCTACATGATCATGTCTCCATCATCTCCTCCACGCCCCTGTGTGTGCTGCACTCCAGGCACACTGACATTCATCCAGTAGCTCAGATGTGCCATGCTCTCCTGCCACAGGGCCTTTGCTCTTGCTGTTCAAAGCATCTCGAGGCACCTGTCCAATCTTCACCTGGTAGGCATTCACCTCCAGTCGCAGCTCAACTAGCAGTAAGCCTTCTCCAACCTCCACCCATATTACTTCCCTGGTTGTTCACTTTCTCCCAGCCTCGCTGTTTCTCCATCACCCTCAGAGTTATAATTTGACATGGATTTGTTTTAGTATTTGATTAATTCCATCTTCCCCACAGAGAACTCCATGAAGGCAGGATTTACCTGATTGTCTTGTCTGACCCACCACTGTATTTACAGGGCCAGCACCGTGTCTGGCACAAAGGAGATACTCAACAAGCGTTTTTGTAGTGAATGAGGATCTTCTTACCCTCTAGAATGTTTTTTCTCTATTATCCCACACTCCCCGATCTCTGTCCACTAGCTCAAGCTTGATTCCTTAAAGTTGCTTTGGTAATCCTTCCTCCTCATACCCTTGAAAACCCCTTTTGCTCATCTTTGCAACCCATCTATTGATAGTACCTTGTGTTGTAACCGACATCACATGTGTACCTGCTTGTTCAATGCCTGTCTTCCCACCAGACCATCTGCTCCCTGAGGACAGGAACCATGTCTGTCTTGTTGAAGGGTTTACCCCCGGCACCTAGCCCAGAGCCTGATATTACTGGTTTGGAAGTGGGAAGTCATGCTCTGCATTCCCAAAGGCCAGCTCCGAGTCACCCACTCTGGAAGATCCATTGGTTCAATACCGCCCGATGGTTAACCAGACACACACTGCCCTGAGTTCTGCTTGGTGATTTCCTGATCTGCTGACTACTGCCATGTGGGTGCTCTCAGCATAGCCCTTGGACACCAAGTGTTGCAGCCACTGAGCCAGGGCCAGGGGACAGCAAGATCCAACATCGACAGGTCCAGAAGGGATGGTAGAAAAGCTCTGGGGCCAAGCTGGGCCAGTATGGCTCCCCCTGGTGGTTTCCTTCCATGTTCCTTGGCAACCTCTCCCATGAGTAGCCCAGGGCACACTCACCAGCCAGGAGAAGAAGCCAGCTGATTTGTCCTGGGTGGAGATCTGCCCCTCGTAGGGTCCAAAGATGTGGCCCTTGGGGATGACCTCGTTGATACATCGCACGTCACTCTCTCCGCTAGTGTCCTTGACCACCTCCATGCCCTGTGGGATGGTGAGCGCTGCCCGGTCTGGGATGCCCACGGGCACCGGTGTGTCAGACACAAACACTGGGGGGCCATGGTTTGGGCATTCATCCACGAAGTACTCCTGGCAGGACTCACAGACTGGAGGGATGGCAAGAGAAGGGAGGGCCTCAGTTGTTGCAGGAAGGTAAGATCCCCATGGGGAAGGCAGAGGGGCTGACAGGAGGCCTACCCATGGACAGACAGCTGCAGGCCCCAGGGTCATCAGTAGCAATAACCCATACTCTCCCTGGGGACTCTAAGAACAGGCCTGCCTATGTCAAGGAGGCCAGCAGCTCCCTTTGTCTCAAGTTTTAAAAAACTGGAAGAAAGAGCATGGCTTTGGAGTCCAAGTGCAACCGTATTCCTTTGGGTTGGAGGACCTCAGGCGGGATACTTAACCCTCACCAAGATTCAGTGTGCTATCTGGAAAATGGGGCCAACAATAGCCACTTGGATGGCTAACGATGATGACTAACCAAGGCCTGGACCTGGGCCTGGTATATGGCAGGTGAGGACCTATCATAGTAGCATTGCTGCAAATTCTCTAGCCAGGAATGGGGCAATGGGGGTGAAGGGAGGAGCAGTCCAGAGCCCCAAGCTCCACTTACACCAGAAGTCCACTTGCTGGAAGCTTTTAGGCATGATGAGGTCACGCTTCCCCTTCAGTTTCTTGGGCTCAACTTCCATGGCCGAGGAGTCCGGTCTTCTAGAGCTGGCCAGGGCAGAGGCCCGAAAAGAAAGTAAAGAAGTCATCAGAGAGTGAGAGCCCAGTGAGGACAAAAGTTGGGGACCTGGCCAGGAGACCGAGAAGATGTGGGGTGGGCAGAGGAGTCCCAGCTGTTCTGCTGTTCAGTGCAGGAGTGGTGGAAAAACTGGAGGATTGAGATGCGAGCACAGACCTCCCTAGGCCACTGCTTGAATTTTTCTAGAGCCTGCACCCAGGAGCTGCCGGCAGCACGGTGAGGGAAAGTGGGCAAGGAGTGAGAACGTTTCCCAGGGCTCCCAACCAACCCAGTCCAGGCACCTTCCACTCCCACTTCTCCCTCTCCAGTTCCCACACAAGGGCCTCACCAGGGCTGGCCATACTCCTGGTCTCGGAGTGGTGAGCAGACCTCCGTCTTCACCACCGTCACCATATCCCCCACGGCTGCATTGGTCTGGGCCAAGCACTCCTTCATGTTCTCGGTCATTCTGTCCTGGGACGCAGGAGGTGGGACCAGCACAGGAAGAGGATCAAAGAAACAGGGGAAGAAGGGTGAGTGGCGGAGAGGGCAAGTGGGGGTCTTGCGGAGTCTGGTTACCCTCCCTGCCATCCCCAGAGGAAGCGCTTGAGAACACAGACAACAAAAACAGCTGTAGCCCCGCCAAGAGGAAATGCCATTTCTATCCCGGGCTGGTCCTGGGGACGACTGGAGCCACCAGCCCCATGGGGTCAGGGGCCTAGGGCAGCCCAGGCCAGGAGGCCGCACTGGGAAGCACAGCCTGGACCCCCAGACCAAAGGGCAAAGGGCAGGAGGATCCCATAGGAGCCTGGGCGCAAAACTGCAAAGGGGAGAAGGGAGGGAACAACTCAAGCCCAACTGGGGCCAAGGGGTAGTGGGCGGACTGAATGGGCCCCCAGAGCCTGGCAGGGCAGCCCCTCACCCTGGAACTGTCGGGAGCGCAGCCAGGCCCCTTTGTCAGCTCAGAGCAGGTACAGGCAGGGCCTGGGGGCGCTGGCGAGGGCCAGCCAGGGCGCCAGCCCCACCCCACTCTCTCTAGGGGACACTCCCTAGCCCGCTGCTTACCGCCCTCCACCACTGCTCCGGGCTTCAGCCCCTCCCTCGGCACCCCGGGGTCCTCATGCCAAGCCCGGGGACACTCTTCGGGGCCAGGGTGGCACGCAGCTGGGGCTGGGACCGCGCTGGGCCCCGGGACTGGGCGAAC